AGGAAATACCCAGCCTTAGAAGATTAAGGGAAACATGTTATCACTTTATGAGATCATAAAGACATAGACTATAGCGCTCCTGGCAATAGAGTTCGTACTTACTGGAGACGATAGTAACCAGTACATGCGCTATCCCACCGACACGATGCTACGTTACAAGAACACCTATCTGGCAAGGGTCAGTATCGGTCAATTGTAAATGTCCAAACTCTGTTCTCATCAGAAGGAGACGATTGTTATATTTTGGCTCAATCAAGCGTGTGTGTGTGTGTGTGTGTGTGTGTGTGTGTGTGCGCGCCTGAGTGTGAAGGTGTGTGAAGATCTCTGTGTGTGTGTGTGTGTTAGTGTGCGCCTGAGTGTGAGTGTTCTGGTGATGTGTGTGTATGTGTTTTAGTGTAGTTGTTTTGGTGTGTGTGTGTATGTCTGTGTATTTGTGTGTACGACACAGAATCTGGCATTACTACTTAGCTTTACACAAGGTAATGTGAACGTTATCGACTAGAATAAGTTTTAGTAACACTACAGTATACCACCACACCTACAGTTTTGTAATATTCAACGGCCCTCAGAACCTTCATCTCCATTTCAAGTTATCAGTTCCTGAAAGATGCAGATCCACTTTAATCTGCAAAAACACATAATGCATAATGTTTTTGACAATTCAAATCAACGATATGCTTGAATCTGCAAAATATGTGTCTACTCCTAACCTTTCCTCTTAAACCAACAAACAGTTGTAACCAAATGCTGAGGGTACGCTTTTAACTACCCGTAATATCGAAAGGTGTTGAAGACAGGTTTAACGTGGGATAGATGCCGCTGCCATCGTCCACAGATCATGGAGAGCTTATCAAGCCAAAGATGCGATTATATTGAAAATTTTCGTCTAGAATTACTGCCTTTACTGCTCGTCTCGGGTGGGATATATTTACGCTGAGACTCAGAGGTGAACTGTTAAGAGATAAAGTTTTAATGTCCGACCACCCTGAGAGCAAGGATGGAATCCTCTACTGCTTCAAAGTTGATGAGCTGATGCTGAGGTATGTCTTAGAGGGCACTTAATATGGCTTAGGAGGGGAACGATAAAAATAAAATAAGAGTAGGGATGCCGTAGTAAGATCATTCTTATTTTTCACCTGGATACCTATGTCTTGAAAGTAAAACAGAATTATTATTTTTTGTTTACGATTCCGGGTGTTCGCGAACATTATGGTTTGCTACAGTATTCTTGTGGGGCTTGGTTTCACTGTTAGAAATGGCTTTAAAATCTGCATTTTACAAATGACATTTTACTTATAACGTCAAAAACTCTGTCTCGAATGTCTGGCATAAAATGTGATTGAAATCATATGAAACTACGAACTAGGGTTACTATGAAATGCAATAAAGAAAGGGTTTTACAACCAATGTTATAGGACTCAATCTATGTATCATTGTACGTTTTCGGGCGGTGGGGTAGCCCAGTAGTTAAAGCGTTGGCTCGTCACGCCGAAGACCCGGGTTCGAATCCCTACATGGGTACAATGTGTGAAGCCCATTTCTGGTGTCCCCCGCCGTGATGTTGCTGGAATATTGCTAAAAGCGGCGTAAAACCAAACTCAGTCAGTCAGTCATTGTACGTTTTCACCCACTATGTCATACCTACATGGTACAGAAACCGACGGGAAACAGTGGTCAATTTAATCATATGACTATGAGCTTGAATCTTTTTACAGAAACCACAATGGATTTATATAGTATATATTACAAAATTACCAGCTTTCTCATTGACAATGATACTATAATGTATGTTTATGATATCATCGGAATCGTACAATGAACCGGTTTCAGATTTTATGTATGGAAATGGTCTTGTCAGGGTTTTTATACATAAACCAATTTCGGAACATTGTTTTTAAACATGCAGAGAAGAATCTATAAACGTTGCGGCTTTATTAAAAGAGAGGCCATGCATGGTTTAAACCTTTGTCCAAGAACGTCGGTTTTAACAATGAAGAAATATATATTAGTGGTCCCCATCAAATTATCACTTATCATGATCTGGAAAACGATATCATCTTCATTTAATCGTTGTTTGACGATCTGGACTGGAAGGGTGTTCTCTGAACACAATGAATAATAAACTCGGTGGAGAACAGGGGGGAGGGTTACATTTTTTATTCTTTTAGAGGACTCGACAGGGACGTTTATATGTCCGTCTTTCATGTCGACTCGGGTCCGTCTTTATGGCTTTCATATCATTTATTTACATTGGAAATGATTACTGACCGCCCACGGTTGTAGTGTGTCTCTAGGCAAGAAAGAAGAAGAAGAATGGATTGGCGACGGGTGTTTCTGAATTTTAACAATTTAACGGTTTTATTGCTAGATATGCAAGGTTCGACGTTGCTTTTCATAGCGTTTACGACGGTGACAAGTCGCAAAATCGTCTTTGATGTTGGCCGGCTTATGGGTGCGAGGTTATAAAAAAATGGCAGAGAGTTTGCTTTGGGTTGGAGAGTAAATACTCTCTACCTCTCGAGCTGCAATCAACATGGTCTGTGTTTATTACGCGCGTTTTACGCCTGGGCGGGGTGGAAGTGCGCGACCTTGCTCTTCAGTAACCCTCATTACTCAACGTTGCCTCAAAGGGTATTTCCATATATGGATTAAAAATATTATTTATGACAACATTTGGATTGACAATCGACGCTTCTCGTTCAAAACGCCAGACAATTTGTCACATGATGCTTCTAACACGACTGCCATTTGAAATATATTTTTGCTCAAGCCCAGACTATACTTTTTAAATTATATTATTAATATAAGTGTATTAATATATATATGACTGTGGTTTTGATTTGATGACATGAAAACACAATTTCCGACTACATTAATATGGTTTAAATGCATGTTTATATCATGATATCTAATGATTAATGTTTTAACCACGTTCAATGTACTTGTTTGACTTGTCAATGCTATGTATTTTAAAACAAGATATCAATACCACAGTTTGCATTCAGTAAGTCTAAATATAGCCTCATCATCCAATTGTTAAATATTAACAGTAAACCCATGGGTGAGATCAAAACATTTAAGCCAAAATTATCCGAATTACGGAATGCATATAGTTACATTGTAACGACGTCTCGTGTCGCTTTGAAGTTAATTTTATAGGAACTCCTTGGGTGGCGCACTGGCGCTGACAGGGCGAGTGCATAAGCCGTCTCCTATTGTCGTGGGGTGTTTATTACTCCGTAATGGCGGCGTGAAGTGATGAAACGGCATATATTCAGGTATCCCTCCGTCTCTTATTTGACTTTTATTACTTCAGGTATCATTGTTAAATCAATTGTACTTTGGCAAGCTTCATCATGGGCTATTATTTCAGTTTTGTAAGTTATGTTGACAATGTAAACTGACTCACTAGGTCAACAGTACAGTGTCATCCACGTTGGGGGTGAACAAACGTTGTTTTACTTATATTTTTTCGGTAGATAGATTTACACGCGCAGGTGGGGTTACACTGAATCATGGTCATCAGGAAACCTGTACTTCATCTTGTTGATCCTGTGTGAATATATGTCATGATCGAAATAGGAACCATTTGCCCTGTCATCATTTTTGTTTTGGGTTGTTTTTTTTGGTTTTACGCCACACTCAGCAATATTCCAGCTATATGGCGGCGGTCTGTAAATAATCGAATCTGGACCAGACAATTCAGTGATCAACATCATGAGCATCAATCTACGAAATTGGGATACAATGACATGTGTCAACCAAGTCAGCGAGTCTGACTACCGATCCCGTTAGTAGCATCTTACGACAAGCATGGGTTACTGAAGACCAATTCGAACCCGTGATTACACAACAGCTCGCGATTAAGTGCCTGACTCCCGGATGGAACTCATCCCAACCAAAGTACTAGAATCTGTACTTTATTAAGAAAGTGTTACCAAATATAACATATGTTAATTTCTAACCCGGAAATTAACGGGTACCCTGTCATCATTATATTAATTTTATTGTAATATACATTCTTAAACAGTGAACAGTATCAAAACAATTCTGTCACATTCTTAAGTTAGGTTAAAAATATCTGATTCTTATTTGGTTTTATGTCTCATTATTAAAACATATTTTTTTTAAATATATACATAATCGCTCCTTAGGGCTTCTATGAGTAGGGCCGAGAATCCAATCCTTGCATGGATTGTTAATGAAATAGATGCTCCCTATGTCGATCATTAGTTTGTCTGACTATCTCTTGTAACCTCTCTGCCTTGAGAATCTTTGGGTCACATGTACTGGAGACAGTTTTCCTAACTGTCCCACATGTGTCACATAAACTGTCACAGTTACTGTGAACGCCACCCCGGCTGGTATTTTACTGTATATGCATCTGGGGACAAAGCACTTGTTTACATCATAACTAACCGACGGATGACAGGATAACTGTAACCTTGGTTTATGCCTTTTTGTAATGTATCTTACATCTAATTATGCTTCCTCCCTGACATCTTAATCTTCTTCGCTGGATTTTGTTTGAATAATTCATCTATATATTCTCTTGAGAAATGAGTGAGTAAGCGAGTATGATTTTATGCCGCTTTTTAAATAGTATAGGAATATATCAAAGGAACACAAACAATGGGCTACCCACATTGTGTCCAAGTGGTGTGGGGATTCAAAACCGAACATTCGACTAGACAAGCGAACGCTTAACCCACTAGACTGTACAACAACCATTCTTGAGAAGCGGCTTCATTTTGGATCGTTTGTATAAACTACAAACAAGTAATATTTTGACCGATGGTTTAAAACCTACCAAACTCATTGTAAGCTATTTATTGTAGTAAATATGTAAGTGTTGCTTTCTGTTTATGTTATATTTAGATTGCGAATACCAACACGAAACCAGTGTCCAAGAGATTAGGACCAATTAGTACCAAGCTGTCATATAAACGCAACGAATCCCCGCTGAAATAATGGAACTGATTTTTATATATTTGTTTCAGAGATGCAGCAGTCAATCCATCTTCCCTCCACTTCCATTGCGCCAACGACCGTGACGCTCCGCAAACGACGTCGCCCTTACTCCAAATTCCAGATAGCGGAGTTGGAGCGAGAGTACTCTGGATCTACGTACATATCCAAATCTCGACGATGGGAGTTGTCGCAGCTTATCAATCTATCAGAACGCCAAATCAAAATCTGGTTCCAAAACCGCCGGATTAAAGCCAAAAAGCTACAGAAACGGGAGGAACTCACCGGGTCAGTGGGACAAGTTCCGCATGACGTGTTAGATGATGGTACTATGACGTCATGAATCACGTGACTCTTAGATAACAAAAATAACATTGATGGGGAACCCTCGGGAACTTCGTAGTTCATTACAGACAGGACGTCGTCTCTGGGATGTTGATGGTGGTGTTGGCAGGAGACGCCGTTGAGACGTTTATCACAGGAAGTTGAATTTGATCTCATTCGGCAAAGTATGATCACTTCCTGTTGTGGCATGACGGTTCTCTAGGATGCATAGCTTTAACATAGGGTCTTCTCTGTGGGAAGGACACCGTGGACTTCTGTTCTTGAAGGCAACAATTCCACCGCTAGTCCGAATCGTGGGGCGCGATGCCCCGGTGGAAAACTAACACTGAATAACGTCAAATATACGTACTCTTTCAATCCCCAGTAATGGTACCTCCATAGATGTCATTAACCAAAGCTAATGTATGGTTTGATCATAGTATTGTGAGTTTATCCACTTTTAGCAATACACGATCCATATGTCGATGTGAAGAACAGCACCGGCTTCGCAGAAGGCACCAATGAACCGAATTCGAACGATCGAAAGCTTGGGTACTTCTCCACTCAGTCTCTACATTGTTAGGTACATGTAGTTGGAACATTCTTCTCTTAGAACTTTTTATTCTTTTACTACTTTTCAAAATGACGCAAGATTTACAGGTCAGTTATACGTTAGATTATACATACAATAAACCTTACAAACAGTAAGTATTTGACTGAATGCATTACCACAAAGAATGCAACATAATGGCATTGCGCATTCTTATTTACTCAAAGAATACGTGTAATATAAACGCAAAAGCTCAGAGAGCCGGAAGTAGGTCCAAATGGTGCTTGAAATTCACCCTTTGGTTCCTCGGTTCATACCAGTATGCGTATCTTTGACACAAAAATTGCAATATTTTCTGTTTTGTTCCAAATTGGTCCACATGGCAACTGTTGTTGCCGATATTACGGATATTACTCTTTTGGACAATGGTAGATGTTCAAGGTATGAATTCCTGGTGTAATAGTTTAAGCTTAGCGCACAATTGGAACTAGATAATTATTTCAAGAATCTTTGACTACTATAAACATTATTATAATGGCAATGTTAAATCCTGACATATTCTCAGAATTGAAATTATGGAAGTGACTGTTTCTAATGTGACATGTGACAGTTACTTTGTGACAGTTCATTTAATGGACAGGTTAGCTAAAAACAATTTCATTTTTAAATTCTATAAATATTAATTTAAATAATATTTTTAGAACTTCATTTCCTAGACAACGTGTGATTGTTTAATGAACCTGTGAAACAATTGTCTACACTGAATTATCATAAATCTAATGAATAAATGTCTTTGCATATAGACCTTAATATGACATCACACGAATGCATCTGATAATGTCACAAGAATGACAATTTAAGCTGGTGGGTGGGTACTTAAGTTTAAAATAGAAGATTTTGCAATAATCCGGCTTTTCAGTTTATTCTTCTATAGCTGTTTGAGTTGGAATGCCAAACCCTTACCTTTGTTCAAAAGGAACCCATCACATCACGTTTAGTTTCTATCTATCCTTCATTCTCATTTCAGCTATTTGTGTGTACTAAAATGGTACCAATCTCATCGCACGAATCCATTAAGTATGATATTGCGTTGTCCATGTGATAAAAGTGGACAATGGTCAATTAAACCCTGACCTGAAATATGCTATCTCAGAGTTTCCTTTCAAGTCAATCGTGAAACTGCATTTGTAACATAATCGACTTACATGTGTTCATTTTTAAGTCGATACATTGTGTGTTCATTTCATTCATTGTTATAACTTATGAATTAAATACATTGGTGTATATGTAGTAATTATTGTCATAGTGGTATTGAGTCGATACGATTGAGAAGAGTTTGCGTTTATGGAAACCCATACGAGGATTCTGTTGTGTTCGTTTGGATGGACAACTAAGGCACAGTATAACCTTGCGAGATGCTACCTATTCTCATGAATATTTATTGTCTCTCTGAATGTTTCAATTTATAATACGTGTTAAGTACAAAATCATAAAACCAGTGCTTTGTGAAGGTTTCGGAGGAGTTGCTTAATCTGAACGAACTCGACATGACCTATGAGGCACATAAGATACGATGACTTGTTGGTTCCTACGAATAAAGTGATTCTTTCTGTGAATAAATAGAAACGTATATTACTCATTTGTTTCAAGTTGTCACCATAATGTCAAAGTGTCGCTAGCCTCGTCGCTGGAACAAAGTATGTCTACAGCTCGGTCATAAATTTACACATTCATACAGCGACTGTGAGGTAACTAAAATCTGAATGGCTTTAGCTGAAACAGACAAGAAAGCCCAGTATATCATACGTACGAATTCGAAAATTCTCGAAATTCATATACATGGCTCGACTTCTTCAACTTTAGGGGAGGAATTGTCGCTTTGTTAATCTATATGTACACACGCAACATAGTATCCCTTCTCGACAGACAAAGTACCTTATCTACCTCGACGCACATGCAATACCCTAAACCTTGGCACACGTAGAATCCCGAATCCCCTCCACTTTGACACATGGCGCCTGCTCTACCTCAACACACATCAATCCCCCGTGGCTATAGACACATAGGGCTCCCTCTACTTTGACAAAGAATGCATCGTAGTACCCCCTCTACATCCACGGACAGTAACCTCTCTATCTCGACACACATAACACATCCTCAACTTCGACAGACAGTAACCTCTGTACACATGAAATATCATCTACCTGTGCACTCACCGCACTCACTGCTCTCCACATATATCATAAACATGGTAACCGTTATCTCTTGGTTTACAAACATATATCATGCACTCAAGTCAGTAAACATGGTAACCTAGTTCGACAGCACTTCTTGGTTTACAAACAATGTAACCTATCTACCTCGCAAGCCATTGTCTGCACAGTACTACTCCCTGTACCTCGACATTCATATAACCTCTCTTCCTCGACACACATAGTACTCACTCTACTTCAACACTCATAGTACTCCCTCTACTTCAACACACATAGTACCCCTCTACCTCTACCGGACATAGACCACTCCCTGTACCTCGACATTCACATAACCCTCTCTATCTCGACATACAGAGTACCTCCTCAACATCGAAAAACACAAAATTGCCTCTTCTGCAACCTCGAACCGACAGTATCCCAAACCTCGACACAAATAATTACCCCTCAACTTCGATACACATAGCAACCGATACTTCGACACACCTAGCACCCCATGTTTACCTCGACACATACCGATTACTCTACTTCAACTCAGAGCACTTTGGCACCTCGAATGTCAAAATACTCCCCCATCACAGCAAAGTACCACCTCTACCTCGACACACGGAACATCCCATACCTCGACACGTATAGTATCCCGATAAATGATGTACCTCCTTGGCCTCGACACATATAGACTTCCCGCTTCCTCGACCGTGTGCCTCTTCTACTTCGAAACATACAGCATCAACTTCACCTCGACACACGGCCCCTCTTTCTCGACACTCACAACATCCACCCCACCCCCCACCCCTTTACTTCGGAATACGTAATGTTCCCTCCTCCTGTCCGCGCGCACGCCCACACACACACGCACACACACACATCCTCTACCTCGACACACGAAGAGTATTACCTCTTCCTCGATACACATTGTTCTCATTCTACCCCCATAAACATGGTATCTCTTTTACCTCGACACAGAATAGTACTCCCCCTACCTCGACATACACAGTACTCAATCTACCTCGATACACATAGTACTTTCTCTACTTCGAATCAAATAGTACTCCCCTTACCACTACACACTCATAGTAACCCCTCACCTCGACACACACAGTACTCAATCTACCTCGACACACATAAGTATTCCCTCTTAATCGACCTATATGTATCGTTCTACCTTTCTATATATGGTATATCTTCTATACACAAATTGTACTCAACTAGCTCGACACATATACTTCCTCTACCTCGACACACCTAGTATTCCCTCCAAATCAACATACATCGTGCTCCTTCCACTTCGAAACACATGTTACCTCCTCTTCCACGACACACAGAGTTTTCCCTCTCCCTAGAAGCACACAGTAATCCCCCTACCTCGACACGCATTGTACCTCCATACCTCGACACAGATAGTTCTCCCCCCTACCCCGACACACACATAAAGTTCTCCACCTACTTCGACACACATAGTCCCTTCCCTTCCTCGACATACAAAGCACTCCTACCCCGAGTCACATTCCTCGACATACAAAGCACTCCTACACGGAGTAGTACCTCCTCCACCTCGACACACATAGTCCCTTCCCTTCCTCGACATACAAAGCACTCCTACCTCGACACACGGAGTGCACCCTGATACCTTAGTCCTTTCAGACACATATCACTCCTTCCACCTCGACACACATAGTCCTCTTCCCTTCCTCGACATACAAAGCACTCCTACCTCGACACACGGAGTGCACCCTGATACCTAGAGCCACATATCACTCCTTCCACCTCGACACACATAGTCCCTTCCCTTCCTCGACATACAAAGCACTCCTACCTCGACACACGGAGTGCACCCTGATACCAGAGCCACATATCACTCCTTCCACCTCGACACACATAGTCCCTTCCCTTCCTCGACATACAAAGCACTCCTACCTCGACACACGGAGCGCACCCTGATACCTAGAGCCACATATCACTCCTTCCACCTCGACACACATAGTCCCTTCCTTTTCGACACACGGAGTGCACCCTGATACCTAGAGCCACGTCCTCGACATACAAAGCACTCCACTCATACCTCGACACCTCGACAGCCACGTATCACGGACATGCACCCCTGATACCTCAGAGCCACGTATCACTCCTTCCACCTCGACACACATAGTCCCTTCCCTTCCTCGACATACAAAGCACTCCTACCTCGACACACGAAGCGCACCCTGATACCTAGAGCCACATATCACTCGACACACATTCCTTCCTCCTCGACATACAAAGCACTCCTACCTCGACACATCACCTCTTCCACCTCGACACATATAGACCCTTCCCTTCCTCGACATACAAAGCACTCCTACCTCGACACACGGAGTGCACCCTGATACCAAGAGCCACATATCACTCTTTTCACCTCGTGACACATATTCCATTTGATTCCTCAACATACAAAGCACTCCTACCTCGACACACGGAGTGCACCCTGATACCTGGAGCCACATATCACACCTTCCACCTCGACACACATAGTCCATTTGATTCCTCGACATACAAAGCACTCCTACTCTCGACACACGGGTGCACCCTGATACCTAGAGCCACATATCACTCTTTCCCTCCACACATATTCGATTCACATACAAAGCACTACACGTCCTCCCCTGATTCCTCGACATACCAAAGCACACTCCTCGACACACGGAATGCACCCTGATACCTGGAGCCACATATCTCACCTTCCACCTCGACACACATCTCTTCCTCGACAGTACCCTCCCGATACCACACATATCATCCTTCCACACACGGAATGCACCTGATACAATAGTCCACTATCACTCTTCCACCTCGACACGCATAGTCCCTCCTTCCTCGACATACATAGTCCCTTCTCTTCCTCGACATACAAAGCACACCTCGACACACGGAGAGCCACATATCACCCTTCCACCGATACCTCCCTTCCTCGACATACACACACGGAGCGCACCCTGATACCAGAGCCACATATCACTCCTTCCACCTCGACACACATAGTCTCTTCCCTTCCTCGACATACAAAGCACTCCTACCTCGACACACGGAGTGCACCCTGATACCTAGAGCCACATATCACTCCTTCCACCTCGACACACATAGTCCACCCTGATTCCACATTCCTCGACATACAAAGCACTCCTACCTCGACACACGGAGTGCACCCTGATACCTAGAGCCATATCCCTTCCACCTCGACGCATAGTCCCTTTCGCCACATACAAAGCACTCCTACCTCCACCTCGATACACCACGTCCATGACATACCTCGAAACACATCTCTTCCCTTCCTCGACATACAAAGCACTCCTACCTCGACACATACAAAGGACTCCTCCACCTCGTGCATATTGATACCGAGAGCCACGTATCACTCCTTCCACCTCGACACACATAGTCTCTTTCCTTCCTCGACATACAAAGCACTCCTACCTCTACACACGGAGTGCATATTGTTACCGAGAGCCA